CGGGCTGGTGCCGGCTCCGGGCGGCGCGGCCTGCCGGCAGCACCGGGTGGGAGAGGGGGAGCGTCCCCGGGCGCGGCGGTTCCCTTAGGTAACGTCGTGTGCGCCAGCGGCCTGCTGAGATGCCTTACTGCTGCCGACGGCGGTGAGCGAACGACCCGCGCCCGGGGAGGCTCCCGTTTCTCTGCAGCCGCAGGAAAAGGGACAAGGAAGCAAAAGCGCCTGAAGCCAGAGGCTGAGGCGGAAGGAAAGGTTAATGACTCTTCGAAATCGTGATTTCGTATTACAAGTTAGAAACGCAATTTGGAATGCTGTAATTGCCATCGTTGCAAGAGGATATTATTACAGGAGGTTGCTGCTAATTAGTATTCTGTTTCTGCTTCGTATCTGGAAAATTTTATGATGATGATACTGCTTGGGCATCATTAATGCATAAATTTAACGTTGCTGTTATTAAATAAGTAAGAGGCATTAACGATCCCCAGTTAGTGTTCTGAATGTTTTTTTAAGTTCAATTTAACTGTGTACTAATCAAATTTAATTTGCACTGGGTTTACTTTTATTTTAGTTCTACTTGGAAGTAATTAATACCTCTGGTTTGGGGGGGTGTCCCCAAAAATGGCTGTGTTTAAATTCAGGCAGTCATGAAACTTTGTTAGTTTTCTGATTCTATTTTAAATCTAAATCTTCTAATGTTGTTAGTTCTGGTTGAGAATCGTTGCTGCCTGTAAATTTTCTTAATACCTACGTTGAAACATGGCTATTATTTAATGACTGATTTTTATTTCTCTTTACTTAAAAAAATCTAAAGCTTTGATATTACTATTTGGGTTCTAAGCAGGAGAACTTACGAAGCTTCTGAACTTACAGCTGTGTTATAATTTAAGTATTAAACACTCCTGATTAGCTTTCCAATTCTACTTACATTTTAAATTCTAAAACTTTCTTATTTTGTTTCTGATTGGGAGTCATTAGTGCCTGCAATTTATTTCATAACAGCTATATTTAGATTGAGCTATTAATTACTCTCAACTCCTTTTCTATCTTTATTGCTTAAAAAAGGATTGCTAATTTCTTTTTAATTACAATACAGATTAGGAATAATTGCCACCTGGTTTGTTAAGTAATAGCTACAGTTAAATTTAGTCATGACTTATCCCTAAATTATTTATTTATTTTAATTATTTATTTGCATTCTAAAGTTTTAATTGACACTTTACTGCTAAGTGGGATTAACTAGCACCTGGGGGGGGTTAATACTAAGTAGAGTTGTTTCTCTACAGATATTAATCCCAATTAGTGCTCTATTGTTTATATTTTGCTGCTTGTAATTTTGTAATAGAAATTGGGAGTAATTACTGTCTGTGAAGTTCTGCATAATAGCTATACTCTAGGCGTTATTTACTCATAAAGACTGTTCTAGTTACTGTTACTTTAAGTTTTTATTCTAGATGTTTTCAAGTAAATAATAAGTGGTAAAAATTAAAATAACAGAAACCAGGGACGCTGGAAATCCCAGGAAAAACAACGGCAGCACCTCGGTGTGACCCAGAGGTTGGACAAGTGCTTCGGTCCAGCTCGGTCGCTCCAGGATTTCGCACTTCCGTTCCACCAGCCCTTTTTTCTGGGAACCCTAAATTCCCGGGGGAACGAACGTGTGTGCAGCAGCTACACCGCAACATCAGACCGCCAGCTGCACCACTGCTGCCGGCCGCACCCGACCATCACTGCCGCACCGACAGGAGCCCGAGTGCCTGCCACCCCCTTGGCCAGCAGCGAACCTGACGAAACCCAGGACGCGGCTGAGACGAAGGCGAGCAGCGGCGAGGACGGACACGTCACAGCAGGTACGATGTGTAACGCTGAGACGCTGTGCCAGGTCGCACGCGCACAGCACAGAGAATTTTATTCTGCGCGAGACACACAGCCGTCCTTAGCGTCTTCACAGCTCTCTCTTCACAACACCGTCACCTCTGCCATTGGGATTCCCAGGCGGAAAACAAGCAAGCTCTGCGCCTTGCGGTGCGCCCTCGCCTTCCACACCTGCACGCAAGAATAGCCGCCCGCCCGCCAGGTGACACCAGCAGCCACAAAGCCCCTTGAATGATTTTACAGTCCCAGAGTCGCGCAAACCAGTTACACTTCACAGCCCGACCCTCCTCTGCCCTGGGCACCCGCTTTGCCTCCACACACCCTTCCACAGCCAGACCCGCAGCCATCTCCCCACAGTCCATCACCGCGTTACGTACGGCGGAGCGGCTGGGACCAGGGAAAAGGAAAAACGGCGGGGGGGAAACAAAACACCTCCCCTGGATGAGGATGTGCAGCAGCGCACCTCCTGCTCTGACTTGGGTTTGCAGCACGCCGAGCACCAAACCGAGGAACGGACTGCTGCTGGGGACTACACCACTGCTCCTTTGCTGCAGCTCTGTACGTCGCGCTAACAGCCTGACCAGGTCGGTAACTAAGCCTAATTTTACTGGGTGAAACACAAACGTTTCTTGAAATAGAGATAAATAACTCAAGATTATATGAAATTACCTGGGAAAGTAGTTGGTTAAATGTAGTACCAGCATTACCAGCAGAAATTACGTGCTTTAGTTTTCTTTCTGAAAAAGAAAATGTGGTGCTGTCGCTGTTTGTGTCTATCAAGACTACATATGCTGCTGAACTGGTACCAGCACTGCCTTTGGACAGGATGAGCTGCCAGAGCAGGATTAGATCCTGTAAAAATCCTTCTCTGAAATATCCCCAGCTGCAGAGTGAATTATTCACTGTAATTCACCAACAGCAGCTCCCAGTCACCCAGACTCTGAGAAGGTTTCTCCAGCTAACTCCCATAACAGATATAAATGTGTCTTAAAGGACGGAAAATAAGATTAGGGCTGAAACAAAAAAGAAAAAAAACGCATCAGAAACTGTTCTGAGCACTGTAACTCGCACCTGAGCAGCTGGAACAGCAATAAAGGACAAAGCACAACGCCTTGGGAGAAGTGTTGAGGGGCCAGAGGGGCTCTGGGGGGCTTGGGGCAGAGTACGGCTGTCCTCGGGGAATCCTGGCTGGCGGCAAGCAGCAGCGGGTGCTCTGGGGTCAGCGAGGCTGCAGGAAAAGCTCTAGGGGAGCTGGGGGGGGTGGGGGTGGCGGCGAAGTGGGCTGCTGAGCCAAAAGGGTCCTTGGAGGGGCATGGGGAGGAGAGGGGGTGGTCCGGGGGGGGCACACCTGCCCTGCAGAGAGCCCCAGACCCTCCAGAGGGCTGGCAGCCCAGGGGGCATGGGCGGCAGGATGCTTCCAGAATGCCGCCTCCTGGGGCACTGGGTCTGGCCACCCCTGCTGCCCCCAGCGTCCCCTCCCCAGCCCCACCATTTGCTCCGGCCCCTTCCTGCGCCACCCACCCGGGGGTCCCGGGGGGGTCCCTGTTCCCATGGACAGTGGCAGGACCCTCGGTGGGTCAGGGTGGGCAGGAACACCCATGTCGCGCTGGGACAGCAGGACCACGATGGATGGGGAGGCCCCCCCGTGTGCTTCCTTGTCGCCCCATGTCCCTCCATGGAGAGGCGCGGAGGCCAGGGGTCCTCGGGCTGCCCTGAGCCTCCCACAGGTGGGGTGGGGTTTCTGCTCCCCCGGTGCATGCAGACCCTTCCTCCCCCTGCCCTGCGCAGCCTCAGGCAGGTTTTAGGGGTGAAGCGCCATTTCCGCAAGCCCCTGTTGCCTGCCAGCCCCCTCTCTGTGCTCCAGGCTGTTGGCCTCTGTTGTGGCCCAGGTGGAAACGGCAGCGAGAGCCACCGGGGGACGCAGCCTCTGCTGGGCCCTGCCTTGGGTGTCTGCACTGCCACCAGACCCTGAGCCCTGAAGCCGCTCGTCCCAGGCAAGCCCACCCCTCCCAATTCCTCTTCTCTTCTCCCCAGGGGACAGAGGGCTCCCGGCCCTGCATGGACCCAGGCACCCACAGCCCCGAGGCAGGAGCAAGCCGGGGAGACACCGGGGCAGGTACTGGGACGGGACAGGGCTGGGCTTAGCACTGGGCTCGGTGCTCATCCCCGTGGGCTGGGAGCAGAGGGTGGAGGGGTCAGCACCCAAGCCCGGGACGGGGCTGCTGCTGGCTGCATCGGCAGCCCTTCCCCATCTCGTCCCTGCCCTCCCAAGCACCATCTCCCCGGCAGGCAATGACCAGGAGGAGAGCCTGGAGACGGGGGGCACATCGCTGAGCGGAGCAGGAGGGGACACGTCCCCCAGGCACGAGACCGAGCAGGAGCGTGGCGGTGGTGCTGGGGCGGCGCAGTCGTGCCCCAATACCTGCGAGGCGTGCGGGAAGAGCTTCAGCCTGCGCTCCAACCTGCTGACCCACCGCCGCAGCCACCTGGGCGAGCGGCCCTACGCCTGCCCCGAGTGCGGCCGCTGCTTCGGGCAGAGCTCCCACCTCCTCACCCACCAGCGGCTGCACACCGGCGAGCGGCCCTACCGCTGCCCCGACTGCAGCGAGAGCTTCCGGGACTGCCCCTCGCTCACCATCCACCGGCGCGCCCACACCGGCGAGCGGCCCTACCCCTGCCTGGCGTGCGGCAAGGCCTTCGCTGACAGCTCGCTGCTGGCCAAGCACCAGCGCACGCACCGTGCCGAGAAGTCCTTCGCCTGCCCCGACTGCGGCAAGAGCTTTTCCACCAGTTCCTACCTGCTGCGGCACCGGCGCACCCACCTGCCCGAAAAGCCCTACCGCTGCGGGGAGTGCGGCCGGGGCTACAGCCAGTTTGCCCATCTCACCACCCACCAGCGGGTGCACACCGGCGAGCGGCCCTACATCTGCCCCGAGTGCCACAAGAGCTTCACCACCAGTTCGGCGCTCACCAAGCACAAGCGCGTCCACACTGGCGAGCGGCCCTACGTATGCCCCGACTGCGGCAAGAGCTTCACCCAGAGCTCCAACGTCATCACCCACTGGCGCCTGCAGCACGGCAAGTCCCTCTGACAGCCCCGGCTGTGCTGCCCCTTCCCTGGTGACGAGGTCCCCTCCCCGAGGTTTCTCTGTGTGGTACTCGGCAATAAAATCTGCCATCCTGCAGCAGAGGCCACCGGCGCAGCTGGGACAGGGCGGTGGGGGGTGGATCGGGGTGAAACATCGCCCCAGATGCTCCCTTCAGCACTGGGGGTCCCTGGGGGCCTTGTCAAACCCCAGTTTGCTCCTGAGCCCTCCCTGCTGAGCGGTGGGCATCCTGGACAGCTCCTGGCCCAGAAGCTTCTGTGAGCAAGCTGCTTCTGTCCTGCTTCACAGGTGGGAAAACTGAGGTGGGGGAAAGCAAAGGAATTTGGTGTTTTTCACCTAAAAAGGTGGATGCAGAGGCTGGGGCACAACACTGGTCTGAGTTGGGTTATCGGAGGCATCTTCCGGCTCACCACTGACCCACGCAGCTCCCGCTATGTCTTTTTGAGGCTGAACTGGGGCCCTGGAACTTCACTGTGCATCTCGGGGCAGGGGGGGCAAGCCAGGGGAGAGGGGGGAAAGCTGCAGGGCCAGCTCAGAGATGGGGATCCCCTGGGTCCTGCCGGGAACGCAGTGAGCACCCACAGCTCTCCCAGAGCCTGGCAAAGCCCTCTGCCACACAGAGGATGGGAGATGATGGGCGTGAACTTGAGGACGGGTCTCCACTGCCTACAAGCAGCTTTTCCAGAAGGACAGCAAAGCAGGTTGCCTGGGGGGAGCCGTGCTGTCCCCATCCGTGGAGCTTGCCCAGACTGTGCTGGATCAAGTCTCGGGGAAGCAGAGCTGGCCCTGCTGGCAGCAGGCAGGACCTCAACTGGAGGAGGGTCAGTCGGACACTGAGGTCTCTCCCCAGGTCTCTTCTGAGCCTGTTACTGTAGGGCCCCACCATTCCCCGGGCTGTTGTTGGCAGGTGTGAGGGTGTGGGGAGGATTTGTCCCCCTTTGCCTACCCCTTGCTGTCACCCCACTGGCAGCCGACCCTGCGGAGCCAGGACGGGGCTGGGATGAGGGTGGGGATGGGGACAGGACAGGGGCTGGGGGTGCAGGTGAGAAGGGAATGGGACCGGAATGGGAAGGGGATGGGGACAGGAATAGGAATGAGGGCAGGGATGGGGATGAGGACAGGGGTGGGGATGCAGGTGGGACGGGGATAGGAACGGGGATGGGGACAGGGGTGGGGATGCAGGTGGGACGGGGATAGGAACGGGGATGGGGACAGGGGTGGGGATGCAGGTGGGACGGGGATAGGAACGGGGATGGGGACAGGGGTGGGGATGCAGGTGGGACGGGGATAGGAACGGGGATGGGGACAGGGGTGGGGATGCAGGTGGGACAGGGATGAGGACGGGGATGGGGATGCAGGTGGGACGGGGCCGGGCACGG